GAACAGTAGCAAATCAATGCATTAAAAAAAAGAACAACAAAAAAAAGTTAACAACTTTGGCAAGAAAGTAATACACATGTCAAGGAAATTCTCACAAAGTGAAAAAATTAACATCTAAAACTTCTGAATACCCTGCAAACTATGAATTCTCAAAACTCACTAATTAAAAGTTCTTTTCAGAAAATAAACCTCAAATTGACTGGACAGGGACAAACAGGGCAAAGAAAATGAGGGATTCAGATCTAAAGCTGAGATCAACAGAGCCAAGAGATCTTAAAAATATATTTTTTCATGAAATTGTCCCCTGATTAAACTTTCCCACTTATAAGATCAGGAAAATTGGTGCTATGTGAAAGAAATAGATGAAAATAATAATACAAAATAATTAATGTTGTGAGGCTACGGACAATAAGGAGTAAAACATCTCTGTAAATAATATTAACAGACTAAAAATTTCCATTGACAGAATAGAGGAAAATGGTAATCTAATTATTCAAAAGAAACTGAAGCAAATGCCCTAGATTACATAATATAGAAAAAAAATGTAAGTTAAATTCAGTCAAACTCTGAAATGAGATCCTAGAATGTAAAATTTTAAAATAAAGAATAAAAAACTCAAATTAATAATGAAAAACTTTATCTTTTTCTTTCTTTCTTTCCTTTTTCTTTTACTCTCTTTCTTTCTTTTCCTTTTTTCTTTCTTTCTCTCCCTTCCTTCCTTCCTTCCTTTCTCTTTCTTTCTTTCTTTCTTTCTTTCTTCTTTCCTTCCTTCCTTCCTTCCTTCCTTCCTTTCTTGCTTTCTTGCTTTCTTTCTTCCTTTCTTCCCTCCTTTCTTTCTTTCTTGTCATGGGGCTTGAACATGGTTGCTGGTCACTGTCCCTGAACTTTCTTGTTCAAGGCTAGCACACTACCACTTTGAGTCATAGCTACACTTCCAGTTTTCTGGTGGTTAGTTGGAGATCAGAATCTCACAGACTTTCAGACCTAGGCTGGCTTTAAACCATGATCTTCCCATCTTAGCCTTCTGAGTAGCTAGGATTTCAGGCATAAGCTATTGGCACCCAGCAATAATGAAAATTTTATGGAAAAATAGTATACCTACATCATAAAGAGTTTACTAGAGAAAAATAATTTATTTTTAAATAAAGAAGATATTTAAATTGAATTATTTGATCAAAAGTAACATATAGAGAATAATCAACAAGATTAAAAATTTTATTTCCTAAATAGGAAAATACAATGAAGCAAATTTATCGTTTATTACTCTAGTTCAGGGAAACTTTGTGAAAATAACATTGAAAGTACATTATAATATGAAGTATTACTTATCTAAATGAGTAATATATAATAAAATATCAAGATATATTATGGTGAAAGCTACTGTCTAAAAGGAAATGCACTCTTTGCCTGACTTATGTAACTGCAACTCCTCTGCTTTTAGCATTTTCAAAACAAACTAACAAACAAAAAAAAACTATTAGACTCCAAGGAATTAAAGTTATCTTACTTTTGAAAATAAAAAGGGAACAAACCCCAGATTATCACCAGAGTTGTCAAAAGTGATCCTTTTTGCTGGAAATAAATTAGCAGCACTTTATAAATACTCGAAGAAAAGTATTGTGAGCAAGGACTTCTGATCTTCCAAACTGATTTTCAACCTGAAAGGCTAGAGATGCCTGTCAACACAACAGAATTCATAGGTAATGTTAATCATTTGCTTATTTTCCATGTCCAAACTTTGCACATTTCTTAAATTCTTTTCTCCTTGATAGGTCTTATCTAAATCAACTGAAAATCTTATAGCTTTACAAATTTTAAATTTGACCTCTCCTTTCCCATCAGTATTCTTTTATTCCAAACAATAACGCTGTCTTGCTGGCCATAATAGACTCTCATTAATGTCTAATCTGTTCTCTGCATTCTAGCTGGAATAAGCTATTATTATAGCATGCTAACATTCCAAAACTTCTGATTCTTTACATTTCTTAGTCTTGAATATCTCTTCAGACTGCCCACTTGCTTTTTCCTTTCCAGCCCCTTCATTAGCCTATCATTTTAGTTATCTCCAACTAGATGGCTTGCTCAGCTAGTCTTCTGCCTGGAATGCTTTTCCATATATGGAAATATTGCTGATCTCTTATTTGCATATCTTTCCAAGTGTTGAACTTATAATAAGGTGGTCTTATTTGGGTTCCCTTTTCAATATGGCAGCAATTCCTTGTTTTGTATACTTTCCCTGCATTTTTAAGAATTCTTGATTGTCTAACATTATTACAGATTTATTTGTTGCCCTATGTCCTTCTTAAGTGTTAATTCCATCATGAGATAACATATTCTATTTGTTTAAGACCAAATACGGCTGACCATAAACTATTCATTCATTTACTCAATAATGCTGCTTGATTGAGTTAATGAAATCATATTACAGATTGAAATAATACTAAAAATTTGTGCATTATACAAAATTGATCAATAATAGTTTGTTATATAATACAACATATTTGAGCAGTCTTCTTTTTTTTCCCACAGTCCTGAGTCTTAAACTCAGGTCCCGGGCACTGTCTCTGATTCTTTTGCTCAAGGCTAGCACTCTACCCCTTTGAGCCACAGCACCACTTCAAGCTTTTCTATATATGTGATGCTGAGAAAATGAACCCAGAAGTTCATACATGCTGGGCAAACATGCAATAGCTCAGCCAAATCCTCAGTCCTGAGCAGCCTTCTTAAATTCTTAATTTATTATAGAAGTAATGTTGTGCATCTATCTAATGTTCCTTTAAAATGTTACTATCAGATTAATACTACTGGCATCAATACAGTTTGAGATTTCTGTTGTTCAGCAAATATGCAAAGTCTTACAAACAACTCAATATACATACATATGTACCACTTAGAAAAAATTAATACTACTGACATCAATACAGTTTGAGATTTCTGTTGTTCAGCAAATATGCAAAATCCTACGAACAACCCTCTCTCTTTCTCTCTCTCTATATATACATGTAAATACCACTTAGAAAAAAGTTCCTCTTATGAAGTTAAGAGAAGTTAACATGTAGATTTAAAAATTATTTAGCCCAGTGTTATGTAAACTGACCCAATTAGATATAACACACACAGATCTATAAACTACATAAATCTGTTGACTACTACAATCCTAAAAACTGTCCAGATGATTGTCCGGAAAATTTTTATTCTAAACCATCCCATCCAATCTAAATCAGATTTAGTATATATTTGAGCACTATACCACCCATCTGTGTTTTGCTTTGTTTTTGAGGGGCAGGGGGTGATGGGCAGGGATGGTAAGGGGAAATAAAGGAGGAGGCAACGATGCTTGATAAGAAATGTACTCATTACTTTACTCATGTAATTGTAACCCCTCTGTACAATATTTTCACAATAAAAAATTTATTAATAAAAAAAGAAAACCTAAATACTTTTCCTGAAAATACTTACTGTGTGTTCTGTCTTTTCTAATTGATTGATGCTGAGATTTCTTGATGACAGAAATATGACTATGCTCTAAATTCTAGGCCTCTAGAACAGGTCTTGGTCATGCTGTGCAGCTGTCTCTTGTTTTCACCAAGTGTGAAGTTTGACCTCCATTTTACTCATTTCCTCATTGGTGGCTCAAAAGAAATCATACCATTTTGCCCAGTGCCAGAAACCAGTACTTGACCATTAGGTTCTGAACCACAGGAAAAATGAATTGTATAAACCTCATCCATCTGATCATGTAACCTTCTTCCTTATTAAAAAGCATAGATAGCTAGAAATAGACAAATAATTTTACTGAATGAACTTTAAAATATGCCTGTCTTAATATAGGGTCAGAAATAACAAATTTCAAAAGCAAAGTAGACAAATAAAAATATTTGTTTGGGCTGGGAAGGTGGCTTAGTGGTAGAGCGCTTGCCTTTCATACATGAGGCCCTGGGTTTGATTCCTCAGCACCACATAAGCAAAAGGAAAAAAGCCGGAGGTGGCACTGTGGCTCAAGTGGTAGAGTGCTAGCCTTGAGCTGAAGAGCTGAGGGACAGCGCCCAGGCCCAGAATTCAGGCCCCACAACCGGACCCCCCCATTATATATATATATATATATATATATTTGTTTGGGACTGAGATGATGCAAAACATTCCATTTATAAGATACCTGTTCGTCCTCCTCTTCCTCCTTCCCCTTCCCTCATCTCCTCCATCCTGTCTTCCCTTTTCGCACATTCTTGAGTTAATAATGTTGGCATTTTTCAGGCAAATAAATGGCTTTTAAAACTATATTTGGCTCAAAATACGTATTAACTTTACGATAATTATGGAACTAACACAGTATGTTATTGTAAACCAATAACCTCTTGTCTGCAGTTTAACAATTTCATCTTGCTTTGAGGAATTTGTAATATGAAATTCCATTTAGCTTTATGACAGCTTTTTGTAAGGTCAAGCACTTCCAATTAAGTTTAGTATTAGGAAGAAAGAAGATGCCTGAATATGCCTTAGTCACAGAAGTAAACAAAGTAATTCATCTTTGTTAATATGCAAAATGCAACATGCAGTAATAAAGCAATCTAAAATAGAAATTTGAGTATTATAGCCAGTTAGTTTTATTTTCTGGAGCACTGTAGATACATTCAAGGATAGACTATGGTTATTTCAGTTGATTTTAAAAACTCCCTTAATGTTTAGAAGGATTCAAGAAGAATTCATCTTTTATAGCATATGAACATTTTCTTCTTCTCTGATACTACATTGTAAACAAGGAATAACTTTTGATTCTAATTCCAAAGCTATTGCAGTTCAATTTTACTATAGAAGTTTAGAAACATACTTAAGACTAGGACCAGACAGATAAGGAAAATTAATATTTAAAGCAACATATTCTTGGTAAAATTTCATTCACAAACTTGTATTATTTAGTTAACTGTCTATAATATCAAAAAGATGTTGACTTACTGACTTACGTTTTACCCTTCCTTTGTTGATATGTGTGTTCCCTTTAGATAAGGAATGTTGAAACCAATCAATGTTTAGACAACATGGGCCGCAAGGAAAATGAAAAAGTGGGAATATTCAACTGCCATGGCATGGGAGGAAATCAGGTAAGCATTTAACTTTCTCTTGAAAAAATCAGCTTCTTACTTAAGGGGAAAACATTATTATGACTATGTAAGCCATCACTCATCTGCTATGAATAATAACATCTTAATAAATGAACATGTATACAAATCAAAAGCTAATCTGGCTATTTTATTGTCCAAATATTATTAATTGATTGATTGATTGATACTAGGGCTGAAACTCATCCTTTGCCAAGCAGACACTCCATTACTTCTTTTCCTCCAGCTCTATATAATTGTCCAAGTGTTTTACGAGAGCACTGCAAAATCAAATCAAAAAGACACAAATGTCACCCAGGCTCCAGTTAATGAAGACAGGAAAATACATTAGATGCAATTCATTTTATCATAATGAAAAAGGAGGAATGTAATCTGTTATGAACTGAACAAAATAGTTTCAAAAAATGCAATGTTTGTGCAATAGTTATTGTTTTATTTTTTTGTTAGATTTTACACATATCACAATTTCTAGACCCCTTTCCATTCCAGTAAATTATTTAAATGTCTGAATCAGCACTGAAGTCTTCTAACAGCTCTAGAATCATGTTTCTATGTGACAATGCAGTTGCAAGCAGAAACATGAGAGTATCACAAGGATTCTGTGCTATCTAGAAGCACTGGCAAGTTGCTCTTTGAGGGCCACCTAGAGGCTGCTTGTTGGTGGAGTCATCTTGCAATCATGGCGGCGGGTAGACTTTTTGAATTTTGAGAGGTAGAATTTGAAATTCCTGGGGACTTTAATAACAGAACAGAAATAGCTGATCTTCTGAAGACATGGTATTTGCAAATTTGTTAGCAACAAAGCACTGAGTTCTCCCCCACCACCTTGCCACCAGAGTTATTCTACCCAGCACATGTCAACAGTCTATTATAGGAATACATGTTAATTCTGGAACTTTCAAACAAGAAAATGACCTTGTTGAATTTTATCCTATGGGGACTGTATGACTCAATGAACATAAAAAGGAGTTTTTCCGTCTAAATGAAAAAAAAAATTAAAAAATCCTAAATCATGTCTCAGCCTAAATGATTTCTGATGAATTCATCTGGAAAATGCAAAAGCTTAACTATCAGAATACTAACTTGTATGGAGGTTTAATTTTCTTGTGCAATAGAACTCTGAAAATAGTTGTACAATGACATTTGTTTATATTTTACATCTTTCATTTAAAAAGAAATAAACATAAATTTTATATCTTTCTCTTCTCTAATCATTAAATTACTTTTATCATCAGCTGGTCAGAAAAGGACTATGAAAAAGCTGCTCTCGTGTACACATCCAAAAAGAAAAGATAATTAGTATAGAGAAAAACTATTAAGTATATTCCTCTATGGTAGTTACAAATAGGTTACTTGAGCACCCTATTTATGAAAAGAAAAAAAAAGGACTGAGCTAAATGACAATGGCTCACACCTATAAGCCTAGCTACTCAGGAGGATGAGATCCGAGGATCTGGGTTTGAGGCCAGCCTGGGGAAGGAAAGTCCATGAGACCCTAATCTCCAGTTGACTATCACAAAAAGCCAGAAGAAGAGCCAAAAAGCTCTGGAACAGCATCAAGATAGAGTTCAAGCTCAGGACCCACATGCATACACAAAGGAAGAAAAGAAAGGAAAGCAGGAAGGCAAGAAGGAAGGAAGGAAGGAAGGAAGGAAGGAAGGAAGGAAGGAGGGAGGGAGAGAAAGAGGGAGGGAGAAGGAAGGACGGAGAGGGAGGGAGGAAAGAAAGGAAAATACAAAGATCTAAGTAGTTTACCTCACACATGGCTGCTTTGTAAGTCTCTTATTACAGGTGTTGAGAGATCACTCAAAAATGAATTTATAATCTCATAACCTATCAAAGTGACTATGAGGGGAAAACAATTAACCATCTACAACACTACTAGCTATGCCATTTGCCTTGAAGAAGCTCTTCAGTTTGATGCAATACCATTTATTCAGTCTTTCTTTGATATGTTGTGATTCTGAATGCCAAAGAAACATAGGTTACATGGTTTTCCTCATTTCTGGTAGTTGAAATGTGCCTATAAATCAGTAAGTAAATACCGTATATGGTAAAAGACCAAAAGTACACTGGGACAATTTAAATTATACAAGTTTTTAGACAGTCCACAGTTAGATCAAAGGAGGGTATTCATAGGAGCAGACCAGAAAAGCTAAATAGCTAGGTTCATAGGATCATATAATATTTTACAAAATGAACTACAAGAAAGGAAAAATGTTTTTGTTGTAGTTGTTGCTGTATTTGTTGTTATCCTTTCCTTTTGTCTTGTTTGTTAGTTTATTTGTCTTTGGGAAGGGTAAGGATGGCACAGAAAAGGTTGGACAAAAGGTGAAAAAATACAGCAATGGTACTCACTAGACACTTTGGAAAATGAACTATACAACTTGTGTGGGGGAGGGAGGGAAAAACTGGGAGAGTAAAGGAAGAGGTGACATGGTCCCAAAAGAAATGTACTAATTAGCTGACTTATGCAACTGTAACCTCTCTGTATATCACCTCCACAATAACAATAAAATATTTTTTCAACTGTAATACTTCCTTCAGTGTTGTTTAGCTAATAACAACATGATGCTTGTCTTGTTAGTCTATATCATATCATGAAAAAGCTATACCATTGCATAAAATCCTATTCCTGTGATTTCTGCTTTGTTTCAATTCAATATTTCTAAACTAATTAATATAAAGGGTCTTGGTTAAATTTTTGTCTTTCTCAGTTTACAAAAGAATAGATTTTGGAGTTTTATTCTCAGACTAACCCTTTATATTTTTATTGCTATCCTTTTATGTTGCCATGGCAACAACATCTATTTGGATACTTATCTAGATTTGAATTTTTGCAAGTAGCCCCCAGCCCATAGACACATTCAAACTCTCCCATTTGCTTTTGTGCAAGTCCTAAAAATGCTAACATCAGTTTTGATTCATATGCATTTCTAAAAGAAAACACTTCTAAAGTCAAACACTTGTTGACAAGTGTATTTTATCTGTTTCTCTTTAGGTGGTAGTCTTTGCCTCTTATGTCCTTAGAGGCATTAGGAGAAACATTTCAGTATTTCAATACTTCTTTTAAATATTTTCCTTAAAACTCAAATATCGACAAGTACAACGTTGAACTGATAGAATGTTCCCCCTGTGGAAATACTGCAAAAACAAGCCAGCAATAGGGACTTGTTACTAAATCTGACACTTGATCATCCTGGAATTCTTTTTTTAAAACCCTATAACATGCTCTGTTTCAAACAATAATAATAGGTGGTACTGGTAGGTCATGCCTGTAAAATCCTAGCTGCTCAGAAGGCTAAGATCTGAAGATTGTGGTTCAAAGCCAGTCCAGGCAGGATAGACCGTAAAACTGTTATCTCCAATTAACCACAAGAAGCCAAAAGTGGAACGGTAGTGGTAGCACACTAGCCTTGAATACAAAAATTTAGAAACAACCTTTCTTCGTTTTGTTGTGTTTCTGGGTCTCCTTGGCCTGTGCCAATGAGACCTAGGGTTTCTCCTATTCCATGCTGTAATGTTTTCAGGGTGTCTGCTTTGACTCCGAGGTCTTTGATCCATTTGGAATTGATTCTGCTGCAAGGTAATATATAAGGATCTAGCTTTAGTTTTCTACATGTAGTTAACCAATTTTGCCAGCACCATTTACTGAAGATGCTGTCTTTCTTCCTTTCTATGTTTTTGTAGCTCCCTTATCGAATAGTAGATGGCTACAGGTCTGTGGGTTCATTTCTGGGTTTTCAATTCCAGTCCATTGGTCCTGAGGTCTGTTCTTGTGCCAGTACCAAGTTGTTTTGATTACTATGTCTTTGTAGTAGAGTTTGAAATTTGGGATTGATATTCCTCCAGCACTGTTAAGAAAGGCTGGACAAATGGGATTGCATGAAATTGCAGAGCTCCTGCATAACAAAGGACATAGCTAGCAAGATCAATACAAAGCCCCCAGATTGGGAGAAGATCTTTATTAGCCATACAATGGACAAGGGTCTCATATCTAAAATATACCTGGAACTCAAAAAATTAAATCTCCCAACAACAAATCCTCAAAGAAACAACTGCCCAATAAATAAGTGGGCTAAAGACTTAAAGAGAAACTTCTCTGACGAAGAAAGAAGGATGGCCAATAGACACTTGAAGAAATGTTCAACCTCTCTAGCCATAAAAGAAATTCAAATCAAAGCAACACTGAGATACCACCTCACCCCAGTTAGAATGGTTATAATTGACCCATTGCAACAATGAGATGTACAAGTTGTTATGTCGAAAAACGAACTTTACAACTTTGGTGGAGGGGCTGGGAGGATTGGGTGGGAGGAAGGGGGGAATATGGGAAGGGATAGGAAGGGGAAACAAATAAAATAAAACAAAAATAGAACTCTAATAACAACAGATGCTGGAGAGGATGTGGACAGAAAGGAATCTTACTGCATTGTTGGTGGAAGGGTAAACTTGTTCAACCACGTTGAAAAGTAGTTTGGATGTTCCTCAAAAGACTCCACATAGAGCTCCCCTAAGACCCAGCAATCCCATGTTTGGGCATTTACCCAAGTGATCGCAAACAAGACCACACTAAAGCTACCAGCACAACTATGTTTATTGCAGCATTATTTACTATAGCTAAGATATGGAATCAACCCACATGCCCCTCAGTAGATGAATGGATCAAGAAAATGTGGTATATATACACAAAGGAATTCTATGCCTCCATCAGAAAGAATGACATTGCCCCATTTGTTAGGAAATGGAAAGACTTGGAAAAAATTCTATTAAGTGAAGTAAGCCAGGTCCAAAGAAACATAGGTCCCATTGTGTCTCTTATTTGCAATAACTCGAATATGTCTGAGACAAGCAGAAAAGTTCAGATAATATGATTTTAGGTGAAATGAACCTCAAGATAAGGATTCAACTGGTTTTTCTTTCTTGGTATTTCTTCTAACATATTTATAAGATATTTCTTTGTTGCTTTGTATGTCCCTCCC